CCTCTTTCTGATGAAAGAAGGCAGCCTGAAAGGATTGTAGAAAATTATCTTGATTGCTTTTACCATAATGTCTCAGGAACAAACTCTGCATTCCCTTTTGCTCCAGACCGAGGAAGAGGGTCTGGAATAGCAGCTACAGGAGGTGACTCACTCCAGGCAAAGTCAGGCGGGGTGAGAGGCAGGCCCAGGAAGGCAGTGGAAAGGGGAGGAATGTACACACTGGGAGAAGCAACAGAAAGAGCAGAGGAGAAGGCACATGGAACCATTCAGCCTACACATCCGTGACAAACAGAGGCACAGCTGGAGTAGCTAGAAGCCCAGGCCCAGACTGAAAGGAGACACCCAGAGAGAAGCAACCAGTAATCTATACAGGCAACTCCCAGGGACAAATGCAGCTTCAAATGAGAAGACACTGCAGTCACCTGATGAATGAAAGGATGCATATGATAGCCTGAAAACCTCTGGAGATGCCCACCAATTCTCATTCAGGTGGGAACCATCTCTGAGTGAGGGAAGGTCAATGGGCCTTTGCTGACCTGGGAAAAGGCCAAAAGTGGGTGGAACAAAGAAGATGCTGATGTCCACTCCCTCCCACAGCATCAAACGGATGTGCAGAACATTAGAGGACACTTTTTGACTTCAGCAATTCCCACTATCACAGATGAAGCTACCTATCAGGTAGTGGGGGGGGGGGGCAGGAGGAGCTTTTATAATCAGGGGTGGAAGTCTCCCACTTGTTGACTGGCCACCAGGGGAAGAGGGGTCCCCAACATGCGGTCAAGAAGCAGTGGGGTGAGAGGGATCCTGGTGCCCAGTCGACAAGCTGGGGGGAGGGGTCCCCTGCACAGCAGCAAGACCAGAAGTGCCACTGGCTTCTCCATGCCTTCCAAAGCAGTGGTTCTCAGCCGTTGGTACCTTACATACCCCCTGCCAATCAATACAGCAAGAGCGAAACCAGAAGTCCCACTGTGGCACTTCCGGTTTTGCTGCTGCAGGCCGAGTCCCACTTTTTCCATCACAGCTTGGGGCAAAGCAGCCTGCGTGGGGCCTCCCTCCCTATCCCCCGGCACACTGACGCTGGGGAGTGAAAGCTCCGGCACGCCAGACACGGCGGGAGGGGCAGTGGCCAGGAGTTCCGGCCTGACCAGGCAAAGACCAAAAACACAGCACTTGTGTACCCTCTGCCCATGTCTCATGTGCCCCCAGGAGTACATGTACCACAGGTTGAGAAACACTGTTCCAAAGTAGCCCCAGGGATATGCATACCCCCGGTTGAAAACTCATGGCCTAGAGGGCACTGAGAGCCATAATAGTGAGAATGGGAGGATAATCTAGCCAGGGTGACAATAGAGGTAGAAAGCTGAGAAGGGAGACTCACTTTCTGCACCAGCTGTCAAGGCACTAGATTTTAAAATGCGAAGATGAAACCAGGAACCAGAGCCAGGCCCAGATGTGTGCCATGCAAGCTGAGTTAGAACCTTAGAACCAGCGGTCACACATCTGTATCACAGTTCAGCTCCTACAAACTTTCCCTAAACACACCACCAGAAGGTAGAAGTAAGCTTGTACCCTTGTATCAGTACCAAAAATCTGACTCTAAGGGGCACTGTGAACTTGCAAGACAACTGGAACTCAGCACGCCAATCATCAGGCCTGAAAGATGGGCTAAATAGCAGAAGTAAAGACTGAGGTAGGCTTAGACTGGTGTCCTGCATCTCCTCTAGCCAGGCTTTAGGAGAACTCGACTCTGAAGGGAATTTTAAAGAGGACTTTCAAAGATTATTCTTCAAAATAAGAAGAGACTGGTACCCTCTCTCTACCTTTTTCTGATGAAAGAAGGCAGCCTGGAAGGATTATAGAAAACTATCCTGCTTGCTTTTACCATAATGTCTCAGGAACAAACTCTGCTCTTCCCTGGTTTTCTGGTGGTTCCCAGAGGTAGTCTTAGAGCCCAGGTTTTTTGAACTCACTTCTTGGTATATCTTTAACAAAGACACTGACCACAGCCAGTAACATTTTCTAGCAGCAGGTGTTTACAAAACCAACAAGCAGCACTAAAATCCCACAAACCCTCCTCATGACAAAATATTCCCTTGTTGCCAAGAAGGCTAATGACACACTGTGCTGCACTGGTAGGTATGTTGCCACTAGGTCCAGGGATGTGATTATTCCCCTCTATTTAGCACTGGTGAGGTCACATCTGGAGTACTGTGTTCA